AGCAATTCCTTCCCAATATCCCCTCTCTCCCTGCCCTCTGGCACTGGGAAACCATTCCCTGTGTCCTGTCCCTCCCTGCCTTGTCCCCAGTCCCTCTCCAGCTCTCCTGGAGCCCCTTTAGGCCCTGGGAAGTAGAAGAGAACTGGATGCCCAGCCGTGCCCCAGCCAACTGTGCCACCCCCCTGTTATTGATCCGGAGATAAAACCCAGGAGGTTATTTTTAACCTGCTGAATTATGCACAAAGCTGCATGAATATTTAGCATAGCTGAGTGGAGATGGATTAGATTTCCCTCTCTATTCCCTTCCTTTGAAAGAAACTCTCTTTTCCTTTCCCAGTGTTGCAGCTTTTCTGTAGTTCCTCCAAGCCCGTCCTGAGATACGCGGCCGTTCGCACCCTGAACAAAGTGAGTGCTCCCAAAACCTCTGAGCTACCTCAAGTTTTAACCTCCACACCACCCCAATGATGTGATTACTCTACCTGGAGCTGCTCCAGGCTGGAGAATTGCCTTTCCCATGCTGGATATCCTGGGGTGTCAGAAATCCTTTCTGCATCCAGGCCACGCTTGCTCATTTTTGGACCGCAGGCAGGGGATACAACGAGCTGTGGTTTGGTAACTTGTGAGCTCTCAGCTGTGAGGAAGCAGAGTGCTGGCTATTTAACCCTGCAAAATCCGTGGGAAGGAAGTAACACCTTGATTTCAGAGCTGCACAGCAGCACTTTGTGACTCAAAGTCACTCGAAATGCTGACGCAAAAGAACCCGCGCGTTACGTCAAAATCTTCGAGCCGAGCCTCGCTCGCACCCGAAATCTTTGGCCTTTGGGATGTTGCTGCCATGTAACTGGGACTCTGCCTTTCCTTGCAGGTGGCCATGAAACATCCCTCTGCAGTCACTGCCTGCAACCTGGACCTGGAGAACCTGATCACCGACTCCAACCGCAGCATCGCCACCTTGGCCATCACCACGCTGCTCAAGACGGGCAGCGAGAGCAGCGTGGACAGGCTCATGAAGCAGATCTCCTCCTTCGTGTCAGAGATCTCAGATGAGTTTAAGGTGTGCCACTGGAGGCCTCTGCTCTTGCCACCTGCAGGTTTTTCTCCCATTTCTTGTTTTTTACGAAGCTTTTCCCGTCGTTGTTTTATTTTTAATCCGGCCGTGGCTTGGTCTGCTAGAGCACAGCCAGGTTGAAGTTGGGGTGTAATGCTCTGCTTTCCAGCTTAAATATCCTCTGTCCTTTCCTCCCAAAAAGGATAAATGTCCTTTGGTGGATTCCTGGCTCTGCCCTTTCCTCTCAGCACTCCAAGAAAGAATAATTGTTATTTGGTGAATTCCTGACTCTGTCCTTTCTTCCCAGCACTCCAGGAAAGGATAAATATCCTTTGGTGGATTCCTGGCTCTGTCCTTTCCTGTCACCACCCCAAGAAAGGATAAATATCCTTTGGTGGATTCCTGACTCTGCCCTTTCCTCCCAGCACTCCAGGAAAGGATAAATATCCTTTGGTGGATTCCTGGCTCTGTCCTTTCTTCCCACCATTCCAAGAAGGGCTAGAGTTGTCATTTGGTGGATTCCATGTTGTGTCCTTTTCCTCCCAAGCACTCCAGGAAAGGATAAATATTCTTTGGTGGATTCCTGGCTCTGTCCTTTCCTCCCAGCACTTCAGGAGAGGATAAATGTCATTTGGTGGATTCCTGGCTCTGCCCTTTCTTCCCAACTCTCCAAGAAAGGATAAATGTCCTTTGGTGGATTCCTGGCTCCTGTGCAATATCCTGCAAAACCTTATCCCACCTTCTGGTTTCCTCTTTGGGGAGGAAGAGGGATTTTAACTGTCCTGGTTGAACCTGTATCATTTCAGTCTGATACATATTTAGCAAACAGCACGAATTATGAAATTTCTACCTAGTTTTTAAAGTTTATAAATATATAATACTTCAGGGTTATAAATTCTGGTAATAAATTGGTTCAGGATGGATCACCTGTCCCTTTTCCATCATGGAGGTGCCCTGAGGAGCACAGCAGAGTCACTGTGTGCTCACAGTGGCCTTAAATTCTTGTTTTTAATGAGAAAATTAAATACCAGACAAATTTGAAATTGGAAGAGGGTTTTCAAGGCAAAAAAGACTTGGGAGGTTAAGATCAGGTTTGTAGTCCATCCCAAATTCCAGTCCCTCTAGCAAAGCCAGGCTGACAGGAGGTTGTTACTCTGAGAATCCACCACCTGATTTTTATCCTTGGCCATGAACTTCATCAAATTGAGATAAAACCCCACGTTTTCCATGGAAAACCAACCCTGAGTGCTGTCCTCGTGTGTTGCTCTGCAGGTGGTGGTGGTGCAGGCCATCAGTGCCCTGTGCCAGAAGTACCCTCGGAAGCACAGCGTCATGATGACCTTCCTGTCCAACATGCTCAGGGATGATGTACGTGGGGCACCTGGAGCAGGGGGCACTGGGGGGCTCTGGTTTGGGGGGTGAAGGGTCTCCTGGGTCAGATGGAAAGTGCAAGGGCTGAAGGGTCTCCTGTGTGGGATGTGGATGATGGAAAGTGCAGGGACTGAAGGGTGTCCTGTGTGGGATGTGGATCCTGGAAAGTGCAGGGACTGAAGGGTCTCCTCCTGAATGTGGATCCTGGAAAGTGCAGGGACTGGAGGGTCTCCTGGGTCAGATGTGGGCCCTGGAAAGTGCAGGGACTGAAGGGTCTCCTCTGAAATGTGGATGATGGAAAGTGCAGGGACTGAAGGGTCTCCTGTGTGGGATATGGATGATGGAAAGTGCAGGGACTGAAGGATCTCCTGGGTCAGATGTGGATCCTGGAAAGTGCAGGGACTGAAGGGTCTCCTGTCAGATGTGGATCCTGGAAAGTGCAGGGACTGAAGGGTCTCCTGTGTGGGATGTGGATCCTGGAAAGTGCAGGGACTGAAGGGTCTCCTCCCAAATGTGGATCCTGGAAAGTGCAGGGACTGAAGGGTCTCCTCTCAGATGTGGATGATGGAAAGTGCAGGGACTGAAGGGTCTCCTGTGTGGGATGTGGATCCTGGAAAGTGCAGGGACTAAAGGATGTCCTGTGTGGAATGTGGATCCTGGAAAGTGCAGGGACTGAAGGATCTCCTCCCAAATGTGGATCCTGGAAAGTGCAGGGACTAAAGGATGTCCTGTGTGGAATGTGGATCCTGGAAAGTGCAGGGACTGAAGGGTCTCCTCCCAGATGTGGATCCTGGAAAGTGCAGGGACTGAAGGGTCTCCTCCCAAATGTGGATCCTGGAAAGTGCAGGGACTGAAGGGTGTCCTCTCAGATGTGCTATGGAAGGTGCAGGGACTGGAGGGTCTCCTGTGTGGGATGTGGATCCTGGAAAGTGCAGGGACTGAAGGATGTCCTGTGTGGGATGTGGATCATGGAAAGAATAGAAGTATTTTACAGACTAGAAGTATCTTAGAGAATATTTTACGGACTTGAAGTATTTTACAGCATAAAATATTTTGCAGGATGTTTTACAGAATTTTTGAAGGGTTTTACAGAATTTTTAAAATATTTTATGGGTTTTCTAAAGGATTTTACAGATTTATTTTTTTTTAAGGATTTTACAGAATTTCTAAACGATTTCATGGAATTTTTTTAGAGATCTTACAGGATTTTTAAAGGATTTTGCAAATTTTTTTTAAGGATTTTACAGAATTTTTAAAGGATTTTCTGGAATTTTTTTAAAGATCTTACAGGATTTTTAAAGGATTTTGCAAATTGGTTTTTTTAAGGATTTTACAGAATATTTGAACGATTTTATGGAATTTTTTAAAAGGATTTTACAGAATTTTTTAAGGATTTTAGAGAGCAGAAGTATTTTACAGACTAGAAGTATCTTACAGAATATTTTACGGACTTGAAGTATTTTACAGCATAAAATATTTTGCAGGATATTTTACAGAATTTTTGAAGGGTTTTACAGAATTTTAAAAATATTTTATGGGTTTTTTAAAGGATTTTACAGATTTATTTTTGTTTAAGGATTTTACAGAATTTTTAAATGATTTTATGGAATTTTTTTTTAAAGATTTTACAGGATTTTTAAAGGATTTTGCGAATTGTTTTTTTTAAGGATTTTACAGAATTTTTGAATGATTTTATGGAATGTTTTTTAAAAGATCTTATAGGATTTTTAAAGGATTTTAGAGAATTTATTTTAAAGATTTTACAGAATTTCTAAGCGATTTTATGGAATTTTTTTGAAAGATCTTACAGGATTTTTAAAGGATTTTGCGAATTGTTTTTTTTAAGGATTTTACAGAATCTTCAAAAGATTTTATGGAATTTTTTTTAAGGATTTTACAGAATTTTTAAATAATTTCATGGAATTTTTTTTAAAGATTTTACAGGATTTTTAAAGGATTTTGCAAATTGGTTTTTTTAAGGATTTTACAGAATTTTTAAACTATTTTATGGAATTTTTTTAAAAAGATTTTACAGGATTTTTAAAGGATTTTGCGAATCATTTTTTTTTAAGGATTTTACAGAATTTTTAAACGATTTTATGGAACTTTTTTAAAGGATTTTACAGAATTTTTTAAGGATTTTGCGAATCTTTTTTTTTAAGGATTTTACAGAATTTTTAAACGATTTTATGGAACTTTTTTTAAAGATCTTACAGGATTTTTAAAGGATTTTGCGAATTGTTTTTTTTAAGGATTTTACAGAATCTTCAAAAGATTTTATGGAATTTTTTTTAAGGATTTTACAGAATTTTTGAACGATTTTATGGAATTTTTAAAAGGATTTTACAGAATTTTTTAAGGATTTTTGCAAATCTTTTTTTTTTAAGGATTTTACAGAATTTTTAAACGATTTCATGGAATTTTTTTAAAGATCTTACAGGATTTTTAAAGGATTTTGCGAATTGGGTTTTTTTTAAGGATTTTACAGAATTTTCCCCCTGCAGTCCCAAAATGGTAAAACCCCAGGGGGTGGTGACCCTTGAAGTTTTGAGGTTTTACCCAACGGGCCCTTCTGCAAAAATAGAAACATATTGAAATAGAGAATGAAATAAAATATTAGATATTTAGCTGTGAAGGTGTGACTTTGCAAAATGTAAAACTGCTTAAAAGCCTCTGACCAAACTGTGGGCAATTGAGATAAAAAGCTTAGAGAACAGGGAAAAGCTTTTAGCACGTAGAGAAGGGTGTATAACCTGAAACTGTTTGAAGTGATAAAACTTTAGGTAACTACTCTATAATGGTAAGAATAGGAGGTAAAACTGTCTATTTAGATAAAGCAAACTGCAAAGGAGTGTATGTGTATAACCTGAAACTGTTTGAAGTGATAAAACTTTAGGTAACTACTCCATAATGGAAAGAAAAGGAGGTAAAACTAGATGTCTATTTAGATAAGACAGACTGCACAAAGAGTGTGTGTAAAGATAATTTTGAGCTTGCTACTTTCAAACTGTGTAAAAGGCCATGTTATTTCTTGGCTCGGGGCAGTGCTCTGGGGGAGAACACCTGCCCCTTTTGCATCTCCCCGGCCGTAATAAAAGTGCTTTTCAGATTGGCAGAGGTTTCTTTGAATCAGTATTCCAAGCAGAACGGAAGAGAAGGTTGTTGTGGAGAGACAACAACGGGTTGGGAGGGGGTTTGGCCGAGGGAATTCGATTTTTTGGGGTTCTCAAAACATGCCACCCCCTTTCCCCAGGGAGGCTTCGAGTACAAGAGGGCCATCGTGGACTGCATCATCGGCATCCTGGAGGAGAACCCCGAGAGCAAGGAGGCCGGGCTGGCCCACCTGTGCGAGTTCATCGAGGACTGCGAGCACACCGTGCTGGCCACCAAGATCCTGCACCTGCTGGGCAAGGAGGGGCCGCGCACGCCGGCCCCCTCCAAGTACATCCGCTTCATCTTCAACAGGGTGGTGCTGGAGAACGAGGCCGTCAGGGCCGGTGAGTGGCCACCGCCGCCCGGGGGGGGCTTGGGAATTCCCAGCTGGGATTTGGGAGCTGGGAATGTGGGAGGGTGATGGTTGTTGGTGTCGGCGCGAGGCCACTCCTGGTTTACGGGATTTTTTTAAGGGTTTTTTAAGGGTTGCACGGAATTTTTTTTAAGGGTTTTACAGAATTTTTAAAGGGTTTTACAGAATTTTTAAAGGGTTTTACAGAATTTTTCTAAGGATTTTACGGAATATTTTTAAGGATTTTACAGAATATTTTAAGGGCTTTACAGGGTTTTTTTAAGGATTTTATGGAATTTTTAAAAGAATTTTACAGAATTTCTCAAGGATTTTAGAGAATTTTTTTAAGGATTTTACAGAAATTTTTTTAAGGATTTTAGAGAATTTTTTTAAGGATTTTACAGGATTTTTAAACGATTTTATGGAATTTTTTAAAGGATTTTACGGAATTTTTTTAAAGGATTTTATCGAATTTTTAAAGGATTTTACGGATTTTTTTTAAGGGTTTTACAGAATTTTTTAAGGATTTTACGGATTTTTTTTAAGGGTTTTACAGAATTTTTAAAGGATTTTATGGATTTTTTTTTTAAGGATTTTACAGGAGTTTTAAAGGATTTTATGGATTTTTTTTTTTTAAGGATTTTACAGGAGTTTTAAAGGATTTTATGGAATTTTTAAAAGAATTTTACAGAATTTCTCAAGGATTTTAGAGAATTTTTTTAAGGATTTTACAGGATTTTTAAACGATTTTATGGAATTTTTTAAAGGATTTTACGGAATTTTTTTAAAGGATTTTATCAAATTTTTAAAGGATTTTACGGATTTTTTTTAAGGATTTAACAGAATATTTTTAAGGATTTTACGGATTTTTTTTAAGGGTTTTACAGAATTTTTAAAGGATTTTATGGATTTTTTTTTTTTAAGGATTTTACAGGATTTTTAAAGGATTTTATGGATTTTTTTTAAGGATTTTTCAGGAGTTTTAAAGGATTTTATGGAATTTTTAAAAGAATTTTACAGAATTTCTCAAGGATTTTAGAGAATTTTTTTAAGGATTTTACAGAAATTTTTTTAAGGATTTTACAGAAATTTTTTTTAAGGATTTTACAGAAATTTTTTTAAGGATTTTAGAGAATTTTTTTGAGGATTTTAGAGAATTTTTTTAAGGATTTTACAGGATTTTTAAACGATTTTATGGAAATTTTTTTAAGGATTTTACAGGATTTTTAAAGGATTTTATGGATTTTTTTTAAAGGATTTTATGGATTTTTTTTTAAAGGATTTTATGGATTTTTTTTTTAAAGGATTTTATGGATTTTTTTTTAAGGATTTTACAGGAGTTTTAAAGGATTTTATGGATTTTTTAAAGGATTTTACAGGATTTTTAAACGATTTTATGGAATTTTTTTTAAGGATTTTACAGGAGTTTTAAAGGATTTTATGGATTTTTTTAAAGAATTTTACAGGGGTTTTTTTAAAATGATTTTATGGAATTTTTTTAAGGACTTTACAGAATATTTTTAAGGACTCTATGGATTTTTTTAAAGGATTTTATGGATTTTTTTTAAGGATTTTACAGAATTTTTTAAGGGCTGCACAGAATTTTTAAAGGATTTTATAGATTTTTTTTTTTTTTTAAGAATTTTATAGGGGTTTTTTTAAAGGATTTTACAGAATTTTTAAAGGATTTTACAGGTTTTTCTTTTAAGGATTTTACGGAATTTTTTTCAGGATTTTACGGATTTTTTTTAAGGGTTTTAGAGAATTTTTAAAGGATTTTATGGATTTTTTTTAAGGGTTTTACAGGATTTTTAAACGATTTTATGGAAATATTTTTAAGGATTTTACAGGAGTTTTAAACGATTTTATGGATTTTTTTTTTTAAAGGATTTTATGGATTTTTTTTTAAGGATTTTACAGAATTTTTAAAGGATTTTACGGATTTTTTTTAAGGGTTTTACAGAATTTTTAAAGGATTTTATGGATTTTTTTTAAAGGATTTTATGGATTTTTTTTAGGGATTTTACAGGATTTTTAAACGATTTTATGGAAATTTTTTTAAGGATCTTACAGGATTTTTAAAGGATTTTATGGATTTTTTTTAAGGGTTTTACAGGATTTTTAAACGATTTTATGGAAATTTTTTAAGGATTTTACAGGAGTTTTAAAGGATTTTATGGACTTTTTTTTAAAGGATTTTATGGATTTTTTTTAATGATTTTACAGGATTTTTAAACGATTTTATGGAATTTTTTTTAAGGATTTTACAGAATTTTTAAAGGATTTTATGGATTTTTTTTAAAGAATTTTGTAGGGGTTTTTTTTAGGGATTTTATAGAATTTTTAAAGGATTTTAGAGAATTTCTTTAAGGATTTTACAGAAATTTTTTTAAGGATTTTACAGAAGTTTTAAAGGATTTTATGGAATTTTTTTTTAAGGATTTAACAGAATATTTTTAAGGATTTTACAGAATTTTTAAAGGATTTTATGGATTTTTTTTTTAAGGATTTTACAGAATCTTTAAAGGATTTTACAGGGGGTTTTTTTAAGGATTTTACAGGATTTTTAAAGGATTTTACAGAATTTATTAAGTATTTTAGAGAATTTTTTTTAAGGATTTTACAGAATTTTTTTTAAGGGTTTTACAGAATTTTTAAAGGATTTTATGGATTTATTTTTTTTAAGAATTTTACAGGGTTTTTTAAGAATTTTATGGATATTTTTTTTAAGGATTTTACGAGGGTTTTTAAACGATTTTACAGAATTTTTTTAAGGGTTTTACAGAATTTTTAAACGATTTTATGGATTTTTTTTAAGGATTTTAAAGGGGTTTTTTTAAGGATTTTACAGAATTTTTTAAGGATTTTACAGCCTAGAAGTATTTTACAGACTAAAAGTATTTTAGAGAAGTATTTGACAGAATAGAAGTACTTCAGGGAATATGTATTTCAGAGAATAGAAGTATTTCACAGAATAAATATTTTACAGGCTAGAAGTATTTTAAAGAATATTTTACAGGATGTATTTTACAGGATATTTTACAGGGTAGAAATATTTTACAGACTAAAAGTATTTTACAGAATGTATTTTATAGAATATTTCACAGACTAGAAGTATTTTAAACAATATTTTACAGAATATTTTACAGACTGGAACTGTTTTAAAGAATATTTCACAGGATATTTTACAGGCTAGAAATATTTTAAAGAATATTTCACAGGATATTTTACAGACAGAAAGTATTTTAAAGAATATTTCACAGGATATTTTACAGACAGAAAGTATTTTAAAGAATATTTTACAGACTAAAAGTATTTTACAGAATGTATTTTACAGAATAATTTACAGACCAGAAGTATTTCAAAGAGTATTTTACAGATTATTTTACAGACAAGAAGTATTTTAAAGAATATTTTACAGGATATTTCACAGACCAGAAGTATTTTACAGAATATTTCACAGACTGGAAGTATTTTACAGGATATTTTACAGAATGTTTTACAGACTAGAAGTATTTTAAAGAATGTATTTTACAGAATATTTTACAGGCTAGAAGTATTTTAAAGAATATTTTACAGACTAAAAGTATTTTACAGAATATTTTACAGACTAGAAGTATTTTACAGAATATTTTACAGACTAAAAGTATTTTACAGAATATTTTACAGGCTAGAAGTATTTTACAGAATATTTTACAGACTAAAAGTATTTTACAGAATATTTTACAGACTAGAAGTATTTTACAGAATATTTTACAGACTAAAAGTATTTTACAGAATATTTTACAGGCTAGAAGTATTTTACAGAGTATTTTACAGAATATTTTACAGAATATTTTACAGAATATTTTACAGAATATTTTACAGACTAGAAGTATTTTAAAGAGTATTTTAAAGAATATTTTACAGAATATTTTATAGTCTAGAAGTATTTTACAGAATATTTTACAGAATATTTTACAGAATATTTTACAGAATATTTTACAGAATATTTTAAAGAATATTTTAAAGAATATTTTACAGACTAGAAGTATTTTAAAGAGTATTTTAAAGAATATTTCACAGGCTAGAAGTATTTTAAAGAATATTTTACAGAATATTTTACATACCAGAAGTATTTTGCAAAGTATTTTACAGGATATTTTACAGACTAGAAGTATTTTAAACAATATTTTACAGAATATTTTACAGACTAGAAGTATTTTACAGAATGTATTTTACAGAATATTTTACAGAATATTTTACAGTCTAGAAGTATTTTAAAGAATATTTTACAGACTAGAAGAATTTTACAGAATATTTTACAGACTAAAAGTATTTTACAAAATGTATTTTACAGAATATTTTACAGGCTAGAAGTATTTTAAAGAATATTTTACAGGACATTTTACCGGATAAACCCCCGGATTTATCACATCCCCTGACCCACCACTGACAACACAGGAACAATTTAGCCTTTCCCTCAACTCCAGAAGGTTTTATGGGGTGGGGTGGGAAGCTGGGAATCGGGAATTTTGGGGTGCTTTGCCTTTTTTCCCCCCGGCATTCCCTGTTCTCTTCCCCGCTCTCTCTCCAGCCGCCGTCAGCGCCCTGGCAAAGTTTGGGGCCCAGAATGAGAATCTGCTTCCCAGCATCCTGGTGCTGCTGCAGAGGTGAGTTTTGGGGGGGCTGTGGGAGTGTGTGGGGGTCTGTGCAGAGCTGGGGGGGCACAACGGGAGCGGCGAGGCCGGAATTTGCGCCGGGGTCGTCGATCCCGGCGGGGGAATTGGGAGGTGTCGGTTTTGCGCCTTCCCCGCGAGGCCGGAGGGAGCAGGAACTGCTGGGAACAGGCACGGAAAAGGTGGGATGGGTTGGGGAAGTGTGGGAGTGAGCTGGTCTGGAACGTTCCTCGGTGGGTAACAAATCATGGAATCACAGAATGGTTTGATTGGAAGGGACCTTAAAGGTCATCCGGGTCCACCCACTATCCCAGGTTGCTCCAACCCAGCCTTGGACACTTCCAGGGATCCAGGGGGCAGCCACAGCTTCTCTGGGAAATCCATTCCAGCCCCTCCCCACCCTCCCAGCCAGGAATTCCTTCCCAATATCCAACCTAAATCCCTTTTAGTTTAAAACTGTTCCCCTTTATCCTGTCCCTCCCTGCCCACATAAAAACTCACTCTCCCTCTGCAGAGCTTCCCTACATGTGAATGTTATTATTTTTTAGGCACCCCTTGAAGCAACAAAATCTATTCCCAGTTTACTCATAAATAACTTCAATGTTTGCCTGAGCAGCTCTGGAGTGTTCCCATTTCAGGGCTCTTGTTAAGACATGATTTCATCTCGTTCTCCTGATGTTCCACTTGGGTTTAAACCTCAAGTTAAACTTCAGCTCCTGCCTTTCAAATTTTTTGCTTCATTTGCAAATCCCAGAATCAGCTGGGTTGGAAGGGACCTCTGAGATCATCCAGCCCAACCCTTGCTCCAACCCCGCCGTGGTTCCCAGCCCATGGCACTGATGCCACATCCAGTCTGTCCTTAAACACCTCCAGGGATGGAGAATCCCCCACTTCCCTGGGCAGCCCATTCCAATGGCTGAGCACCCTCTCTGCAAAGAAATTCTTCCTGATATCCAACCTAAACCTCCCCTGGCACAGCTGAAGACCGAGCCCTCTTGTCTTGCTGATGGTTGCCTGGGAAAAGAGCCCAACCCCCCCCGGCTCCCCCCTCCTGGCAGGGAGTTGCAGAGAGTGAGGAGGTCTCCCCTGAGCCTCCTCCTCTCCAGGCTGAGCCCCCCCAGCTCCCTCAGCCTCTCCTCCCAGCACTTGGGCTCCAGTCCCTTCCCCAGCCTGGCTGCTCTTCTCTGCCCCTGCTCCAGCCCCTCCAGGGCCTTCCTGAGCTCAGGGCCCAGAGCTGGACACAGCACTCCAGGGGTGGCCTCCCCAGCGCCCAGCCCAGGGGCACAAGCCCTGCCCTGCTCCTGCTGCCACACTCTTCCTCAGCCAGCCCAGCAGCCCTTGGCCCTCTTGCCCCCCTGGCCACCCTCGGGCTCCTCTTCAGCTCCCTGCCCGGCCCAACTCCCAGCTCCCTTCCTGCTTGGCTGCTCTCCAGCCCCTCTGGCCCAGCCTGCAGCTGCAGGGGCTTCTTGTGGCCCAAGGGCAGGACCCGGCCCTTGGCCTTGGGGAACCTCAGCCCCTTGCAATCAGCCCATGGATCCAGCCTGGCCAGGGCCCTCTGCAGAGCCCTCCTGCCTTCCAGCACATCAACACTCCCCCAGCTTGGGCTCACCTGCAATGTGCTGATGGTTCCCTCCATCCCCTCACCTAAATCATCAATAAAGACATTAAACAGGACTGGGCCCAGCGCTGATCCCTGGGGACACCACTGGCTGCCAATGCACTGAGGGAACTCTGAGTGTTGTTCCAATATCAACTCCAGCCTTTCCAGTGCCACTTTAAGCTCAGCTCTGGGCTCTCCTGGGCTGAGCCTTGCCCTGCTGTCCCCCCAAATCCAGGTGCATGATGGACAGCGACGACGAGGTGCGGGACAGAGCCACCTTCTACCTGAACGTGCTACAGCAGAGGCAGCTGGCCCTGAACGCCGCCTACATCTTCAACGGTCAGTGAGAGGGACAAAACACTTCTGAGCTCCTCTTTCACGGGTTAATTCTGGTTTTAGCCCTTGCTGAGAACGGCAGAGTCAGCCAAGTGTGGTGTGGATTGGCTGGGAAACGGGGCCGGGAGTCTGAGCTGGGCTTTTCTCACTGACTGGGCCTTCACCTGGGGCGGGTTTCTTGACCTTTGCTCCGTCTTTTTTCCGTGACAAAACAAGGAGAACACGTCTTGCTGCCAGCCTTGGCTGCAAAATTGTTTTACTATCTGTAACTGAAAGTTCATGGGAGCAGAGTGACACCTTTGAGATCCTCGCTGCGTGACTTTGCTCGAGGCAAATGTTTACCCTTGCCAGCTTTGTGTCACCTCCAGAGCAGGTTGTTTTATCCTGCCCAGTGTCTCCAAGCGCTCTGTGTGTGTTTGTCACCGGGAAAAGAGCTTTTATCACCCCTGTGGGCCCATTCCTGCTCTTCACACCCAGTTTTCCTGCCTTTTTTTTGCCTTGCAGGGCTGACAGTGTCCGTCCCTGGGATGGAGAAGGCCCTGCACCAATACACCCTGGAGCCCTCAGACAAACCCTTTGACATGAAAACAGTCCCTCTGGCCACGGCCCCAATCTTCGAGCAGAAAGCAGGTACCACTTTAGGCTGGGCCTAGATGGGGTGTAGGCCCAGCTCAGAGCCTTCAGGGCGTTGTTGTTCTCCTGATCTCATTACCAGAGGCAAGTCTATGCATAAGCAGGGTTTATTAGTTCACAGCCTTTGGAAGAACTCCCTTCCAGAAGTGCTGAGTCACTTCCCTGGCTTTCTACCACGTCCTTTTGCACAACTCCTTTTGCATTCTGACTTTGCACAGTGTTTTAAGAAAAGCTTTGTGGCTTTTTTTTTTTCCTTCCCCCCCCCCCCTTTTTTTTTACCAGGCTAAAATGTGGTTTATTTCTCTCCATAAAATCCAATATTTCCTCACAAAAATTTAAAAAAAGGATATTTCAGTGTGAGAGAAGACCTGGGCTGGAAGTGGTTTGCAGCAGGACATGTGGGGAACCAACATGTTAAGGAATTTTTGGTGGAGATATGGCAGAGTTTTGGTGTAGTTGAGAGCACAAAGCCTTTGTTTTTTCTCCCCAGAGATTGCCCTGGTGACCAACAAACCCGAGAAAGTGGCTCCTTCACGCCAGGATATATTTCAAGGTAGGAGAAGAGCAGTGAGTTTCCAGAACTTTCTGACAGGAGAGCTGGAGAGGGACTGGGGACAAGGCATGGAGAGACAGGACACAGGGAATGGCTTCCCACGGCCAGAGAGCAGGGATAGGTGGGATATTGGGAAGGAATTGCTGGCTGGGAGGGTGGGGAGAGGCTGGAATGGATTTCCCAGAGCATCTGTGGCTGCCCCTGGATCCCTGGGAGTGTCCAAGGCCAGGTTGGAGCAACCTGGGAGAGTGGGAGGTGTCCCTGCCCATGGAACTGGATGATCCTTCATTTTCCTTCCCACCCAGACCACTCTGTATGATTCCATGATCCAGCTTTTCCAACCTCCAGCTCACACAACCCTTGCTCTCCTCTCTCCATTTCCCCAGGAGCCCTCGGGGGGCTCTTCACACCCCCAGGAGCCCTCAGGAAGCTCTTCCCACCCCCAGGAGCCCTCAGGAAGCTCTTCCCACCCCACTCACTCCCAGAGGAGGACCTGGAGGGACAGGACACAGGGAATGGCTTCCCAGTGCCAGAGAGCAGGGTTAGATGGGATATTGGGAAGGAATTGCTGTCTGGGAGGGTGGGGAGGGGCTGGAATGGATTTCCCAGAGAAGCTGTGGCTGCCCCTGGATCCCTGGAAGTGTCCAAGGCCAGGCTGGAGCAACCTGGGCTAGTGGAAGGTGTCCCTGCCTTCAGTTCTCCTCCAACCCAAACCATTCCTTGATCCTGTGACGCCTTGGGATGATCCCCACGGGTGGGAGCAGCGGGCAATCCCATCCTTAACCTTCATCTTCTCCTCCCTCCCCAGAACAACTGGCAGCCATCCCAGAATTCCAGAGCCTGGGTCCTCTGTTCTGGTGCTCCGAGCCCGTCCAGCTCACGGAAGCAGAGACCGAGTACTTCGTGCGCTGCGTCAAACACGTCTTCCCGAACCACATCGTCTTCCAGGTGAGGGATCTCCCTGGCTCTTCCCGGGATGGGAGGGAGCTGGGGGGTGGCTGCTGCCTGCCAGGGGAGCGTTTTCAGGGAATAACCCTCCACGGGGAATGTTTTTGTCCTGTGCTCTGCCGCAGTTCGACTGCACCAACACGCTCAACGACCAGCTCCTGGAGAGGGTCACGGTGCAGGTGGAGCCGTCGGACGCCTACGACGTGCTCTGCTGCATCCCAGCTCCCAGCCTGGCCTACAACCAGCCTGGGATGTGCTACACCCTGGTCAGGATCCCCCAGGACGACCCCACTGCAGGTACCCCTTGGGAGGGATCATCTGTGCACCAAATCCCTCCAAGGAAGGGTTTGGAGGACACCCAAGCGTTTGGGGTTTGGCATCCCGGGATTCTCACAGGGTTTTGGGTGGAACCCAAGTGTGTGTGCAAAGGATTTGAGGTGGTTTTTAAACAGTCAGTGGTGTTGGGTGGTTAAAACTGGGATTTAAAGGAGATTTGAGAGGGTGCAGGTGGTGGAAACTGGAATTGAGTACCCGGAATGAAGGCGAGGAGCACGTGAACATTTGGGGATGGTAAAGATCAGAACCAGTCAAAGGAAAATACAAACACTAAAAAATAATGCAAATCATAAAAATATTAGTAGTCTAGGACTCTACAGAATTGACCAGTGGAATTATTCCTCTCTTTAGTGAGTTAGAATCAACTGTGACATGTAGGAATGGGATTTTCCTGGCCACGAGACTTCCCTTTCTCTCTTTTATCCCTCACCACTGGATCTGCAGTGGGTTTAACATGACTCAGCTCGTCAGTGCAGTGGTTGTTGCTTTAATAGCAGGCAAGATCAGGACTAACCAGAATTCCCTGAACTCTGCATCGTGCTCCACTTGGCCGAAATCCTGGTGGAATCCCTCCTGGATCCCACTGGGAATCAGGGTCCTTGTTATCCCACGACCCTTTGGCCTTCCCCTTAAAATCAGCGTATTTCTGATGGATACTCATTCCAGTCTCTGGGGATTTTTTGGGGGGGAAGGGAGGGCTCTGGCACTGATTATCCCAGATTTCTCTCTCTGCTTCCCAGTGTCCTGCACCTTCAGCTGCACCATGAAGTTCACGGTGCGGGACTGCGACCCCAACACGGGGGTGCCAGAGGAGGATGGCTACGAGGATGAGTACGTGGTGAGTCCAGGCTCTGCTTCCTGTTCCCCTTGCCCTGTGGAGACAGGATTGGTGGGGGCAGGCAGGGGGAAAAAAAGGAAGGAATGATTTCCACTGTTTGTTTTCACAATCAGTCTTTCCCACCCCAAGCTTTCGCACTTCTGTTTAGCGTGGAAATAGAAGTCAGGTGGTGTCAGGAAGTGTTGGGAGAAGAGAAGGATCCAGGAAAACCTTGGAGCCCCTTGCAGGGCCTAAAGGGGCTCCAGGAGAGCTGGAGAGGGACTGGGGACAAGGCCTGGAGGGACAGGACACAGGGAATGGCTTCCCAGTGCCAGAGGACAAGGATAGGTGGGATATTGGGAAGGAATTGCTGGCTGGGAGGGTGGGGAGGGGCTGGAATAGAATTCCCAGAGAAGCTGTGGCTGCCCCTGGATCCCTGGAAGTGTCCAAGGCCAGGATGGAGCAACCTGGGATAGTGGGAGGTGTCCCTGGATGGAACTGGATGATCCTTCAGTTCCCTTCCAACCCAGCCCAGTGTGATTCCATGGATCCTGAGGAAATCTCTCCCAGTGGATGCCCAGTGAGGGCTACAAAGGGCTTTAAGCCACAAAGTGAACCTGATTTTCTGTTCTCTTTTAGTCCCTTCTGTGTGGATGTTTTTCATGTTTACAAATGACCAGAATAAACCCAGTTTTTCCCCATTTTTAGGAGCCACTGTCACGTGCTTCTCCCAAAAATTCAAGCCAGGCATGGCAGAGCTGTTCTGGCAAAATGCCACTGGATCTTTCCCTTCCCAGGCTCCTTTCCTGCCACTGCCCTGAAAATCTCCCTCCCTTTCCCCCTCAGCTGGAAGACTTGGAAGTGACCGTGTCCGACCACATCCAGAAGGTTTTAAAGCCCAACTTTGCAGCGGCCTGGGAAGAAGTGGGAGATGACTTTGAGAAGGAAGAGACCTTTGCCCTCAGTTCCATCAAAACCCTTGATGGTGAGACAGACAGCCCCTCATTTGTTGGTGGTAAATCTGCCAGGCTGGGATATATATTTTTAGGGAATTAACCTGGAGGTAATTTCCTTTTTTCCATCCCTGAATGCAGAAGCTGTCAACAACATCGTGAAGTTCCTGGGAATGCAGCCCTGTGAGAGGTCGGATAAAGTGCCGGAGAACAAGAATTCCCACACTCTTTACTTGGCTGGTGAGTGTTCCCTGCTGCTGGATCCCACGTTGCCACGTCCCCACAGATTTCTGCTGAAGGAAGGGAAATTATTTGGGAGGTTCTGCTCTTGTTTTGGGAGCTTTTGCTCTGTAGAAAAGAGGGGGTTTTTTCCCTGTGAAAGGCTGCAGTGAAGCAGTAAGTTGGATCCTGCTGTCTTGGATGTGCTCAGGCTGAGCTCTGTGTCTGGGATTGGAGGAATTCTGCTCGTGGAGTCCTCTGGATTGAGAACTTCCAGAGCAGACACCCAAATAAATTCCCTGCCTGGGGTTATCTCAGAAGGGCAGTTCCAGGATCATCTCCTTCCCAAGGTCCTGTCACTAAAGACACTTCCTGGACTGCCCTGCAGCACCCACAGCTTCTCCTGGAATCAGGGAATCATTTGGGTTGGAAAAGCCCTCTGAGATCATGGAGTCCAACCAGCCCCAGCAGTGCCAAGGCCACCACTGACCATGTCCCCAAGTGCCACATCCACAGGGCTTTGAAATCCCTCCAGGGGTGGGGACTCCACCCTGTTCCAAGGCCTGACCACCCCTTCCATGAGGAAATTCCTCCTGGTGTCCAACCTGACCCTCCCCTGGCCCAGCCTGAGGCCGTTCCCTCTCCTCCTGTCCCTTGTTCCCTGGCAGCAGAGCCCGGCAGGACTTGCAGCCCAGAAGTCCCCCTGAGCCTCCTTGCTCAGGTGAGTCCCCCCCACTCCCTCAGGTAGTTCTCCAGCCCCCTTCCCAAGGCTCCTTCCCTCCCCTCACACGCTCCACCCCCCCGTGCCTTCCCTGACCGAGGATCCAGGTCCCAGCAACTGAGCACAATCCCTCCCTACCTTGCGCCACACTATTCCCAACACAATCCAGGTGCCAGTGGCCTCCTGCCCCGCTGGGCACACCCGGGCCACTGTCACCAGCCCCCCCAGGGCCTTTCCCAGCTTCCCAGCCCCTCTCCCCCCACCCTGGAGCTCCGCGGGGTCGGAGCGACCCATCGGGGCAGCGACTCCTCTGCCTCGCTGTCGGCTGCTGGCTTAGGCCTGGCTCAGAGCCTCTCCTAAGCCCAGCCCTGCCTGTCTTTGCCCCCAGGTGTGTACAGGGGTGGCTGTGACGTGCTGGTGAGGGCCAGGCTGGCGCTGGGGGACGGGGTGACCATGCAGGTGACGGTGAGGAGCAAGGACGAGGCGGCCGTCGACGTCATCCTGGCGGCCGTGGGCTGAGGCCGAGCCGGGCCCTGGCCCCTGGAGAGGCCTGGCTGTCCTTTTGCATGTGGGTTTTACTCCTCAAAAATCTGGGAAGATATTTTGTACGAGGTCCCATTCTCGGTGGCTTGGCCGTTCCCACGTCCCCTTCCCTCCGTGTCACACATTCCCACTTAATTTATGGGAAGGGAAAAGGGGGGCGTGTGCAGGTGGGTGAGGAAATGGGAGTCAGGCTTTTTTTTTTTTTTTTTTTGCCTTTTTTTTTTTGTCCAAAATCAGTTTTTATTACCAGAAAATAACCCCTGGTTCGAGCGGCGGGGTTCCTACGAATCGCTGTTAATAAAATAGAGATTTCTTGTTCTGGTTCTGCCTGGTTTTCAGCCCAGGAAAAAAAAAAAAAAAAAAAAAAACAAACCCAGCCCGTTTTGTTCAACAAAAAAAGCCCCTTATTCCCAGATTAAATTCCCAACATAGGCTGGTAAAAAAACCCACAGGGAAAACCTGCAGGTTGACGGTGCCTTCGTGGTTCTTCCTGGTGGGAAAATCCATGTGCAAAAGAGATGGAACTTCATCTCCTGAGGCAGGTTTATGTCAGGTAATTCCCAACACCGGTGCAGCCTGTACTGGGCTGGAATGGGAAACATCCCATAGCAAAAACTGGGAAGGGGAGGGGATGGAGGGACCTCTCTGCTGCTGAGCTGGTGTTTCTTTACCAAGCCAGGGTGAGGGAGGAAGGAAGAAACACTGATTTAATGCTGAGTTCACCTCTAAATCCAGGGTTAGGCCGGTCCAGAGGGTGGGAGAGCTGTTGGCATCCCGGAACTCTTTGCTTTTCCCACACCTGCCTGATGTTTTCCCGGTGTTCCAAAGGGTTTAACTGCCCGAGTGCAGCCCTGAGTTCAAAGTGTTGGCTCTGGGAGGTAAAGCCAAGGTTTTTTCCTGCCCCCCAAAGCCTGACTGGGAAGCAGAGGGCGAGAACTGGAGCGGCAGCAGCTCAGAAGGAGTTGATGAAGTTGAGGTACGAGTTCAGGAATCCCGTGGGATCCTCCAGCTGGGGATAGTGGCTGATGTGGTCATCCAGCACGGACACTGTGGACATGGGAAGCAGCTTCCTGTGGGAAGAGTGGAGCAAGGTTAGTTAAGCTTAAGCACAGGACCAGCAGCAGGCTCAGCCCAGTGCCACCAGTGAGGAGGGCAGGGCTGGGATTCCACCCAGAACGTGGATTTGGGATCAAAAAAAGCCCCAGTTGGCCAGTCTTCCGAGTGCTGGATTTCCCCCAGGTTAGTTTGGAGGAGAAAATTCCCTCAGGGATTAAATCTTCCCTCTGTGGTTTTAAAATTTGGCACTGGTTTGACTGAAAATTGTGATTTTTGGGGGTTTTTTGGTGCCTAAAATAGGGAAACAGTTCCCAAACTGCACAAGGCTCCGACTTGGAGTCACTTGGTTCCAGGTGGGAATTAAGAACAGCCTCTGTGAGAACGGGATTGGAGGGAAAGGCAGCCAAAATATCCCTTGGAATGAGGCCCCAGGGGGGCACATTCCCACTGGGTGGTGGGTGGGATCTTGCCTGTAAAGCTGGAGAAACTCCGGGTGTGGATTCACAGGGTCCAGGGGGCCGTAGATGAGATGCACTGGGAGAGAGAAGAACGAGGAATTTATGCCCAAGGACATCCCTAAATTTAGCCAAGGGCCAAATTCCCCCCTCACGTGGAGCTTGGGAAGCTTCCAGTGGAGCCCTGAGCAATCCAGGGGCTCCAACAGCCTCCGGTGTCCTGGTTGGAACTTCCCTGGAGCAGCACCTGGAATGAGCCTCTCAGGGAATGTCGCTCTGCTCAGCGGGACAAGCTTCCCTTGCCAAGGCGTGGCTGAGCCTTGAGCTGGAAGTTTGGGATGTTCCCCCTGGATTGGAGCTCCATCATCATCACCAGGATGACGGGAAGCTCCGGCGAGGAGCGGGAGGGGACAGTTCCCACCGATCCCAAGCAGGAAAGGAAGAGATTCCAGGGATTCCTACTCACGTGGGACAGAGGTGGACACCAGAGCCCCGACCCAGCGGCCACTGTGCTGCTTCCTCTCGTTGATGTACTGCAAAACACTGAGGAGAAATCCCTGGTTACAGACATTCCAGGGGTGGCACAGCCTGGGATTTGCTCCCGGGGCCACGGATGGTGAGGGGGGATCTGCATCTCCCATGGATCTCCCTGGGACAGCAGCACCACAACAGCATCCCGGAGTTCAGTGACTCGGTTCTTCCAGGGGGAGGAAAGGAGAGAAGGACACACTGAACAGGGATGCTGGACCCACAGCCAAGAGATCCTCCTGAAAGCCCAAACTGGAGCAAACAGGACCTTCCAAAACTGGAGTTAACAGTGCTTCCCAAACTGGAACAAACAGGACCTTCCCAAAATCCCAAACAAACAGGTCCTTCCCAAACTCCCAAACTGGAGCAAACAGTGCTTCCAAAACTCCCAAACTGGAGAAAAGAGGACCTTCCAAAACTGGAACAAACAGGTCCCTCCCAAACTGGTGCTTCCCAAACTCCCAAACTGGAGCAAACAGGACCTTCCCAAACTCCCCAAACTGGAGCAAACAGGACCTTCCCAAACTCCCCAAACTGGAGCAAACAGGACCTTCCCAAACTCCCCAAACTGGAGCAAACAGGACCTTCCCAAACTCCCCAAACTGGAGCAAACGGGTCCTTCCCAAACTCCCAAACTGGAGATTTGGCACTGGGACTTCTGGGAATGGCCCAGAAGATCAAGGTCATTCAAATCCAGAGGCAAAGCTCTCCTGGGACAATTCCAAGGGATCCATTCACCTGCCACAGATTTATCTCCAGTCCTTGAACACCCCCCCCCAAATCCAAGCCCTTGACTTCCAAAGATGAAAAAATTCTCACATTGGATCATTTCAAACTCAGATCCAATTCCAAACTTTATTTCCCTGCCCTGCATCATCCCAGTGGGAAATCTTGGTCCCACATCACCTTCCAGCTCTTTTTTTTTGGGATGAAGATGATCCCAGGCTCCAACAGAAGCAGCTGGAGGCTCTGGAGAGCCTCTGGATGAGCTCTGGGAATCTCGGAGCAGGTGTCCCAACTAATCCCCTGCAGGAATTCACGGTGACCTACCTGTCCATGACAAGATTCCCGTCGTTATTCCGCACCGCCGTCCACATATCCCAGAATTCCGCCTGGGAGGGCTGTGTGTGGGGCCCAAAAACTGCTCCAAGCCTGGGAAAAAAAGGGAGTTTGGAGAGGGCTTTTTTGGGGAAAAATCCCTAAAGGCAGGGCTTGGGTGGGGTTTCATTGCCTCTGGAATGTGGAATTCCAGTTCTTGTGGGAGAGAAGGAAAGCAGGGAAAAAGCCATGTGGTGGTTTATTATTAGCCCAGCCTGGAGAGGGAATGGCCTGGAAGGTCAAGGTTGAAATCCAGAGGAAAATCTCTCCTGGGATGGTGCCAGGGAATGCCCTCACCTGCCCCAACACCTGCTAATTCATGGAATCGTGGAATGGTTTGGCTTGGAAAAGACCTTAAGGATCATCCAGTTCCACGGGCAGGGACACCTCCCACTATCCCAGGTTGCTCCAACCCGGCCTTGGACACTTCCAGGGATCCAGGGGCAGCCACAGCTTCTCTGGAAATCCATCCCAGCCCTCCCCACCCTCCAGCCAGGAATCCCTTCGAATTCCCGCTTCCCTGCTCGGCTCCCATCCCTGTGGACTGTTCCCAGCTCACCCTCTGGAGAAGAAGAAGAAGTTCATCAGGCGCAGGAGGAGGGGGGACAGCAACCCCCCGTCCTGGAGGAGCTGGGGAGCAAGGAGAACAGGAGATGGGACACACGGATCAATCCTGTCTCCATGGAGAGCTTTTCCCACAATCCCTGACCCCGGAGACACCCACAAGGTCTCCTGGTGGGACACTGGTGTTTATTTGGGATACTGGGAGTCAGGCTGGACAGAGAGGGGAGCAGCTCACCTTCTGGATGAACCTGGGGTGGTATGTTTCCTGAAAAATCCCTGGAAGGAGGCGGGAAAACAGAGCTGTAAATCCACAGGTGCTTTGCTTCCCATTTCCCGGTCCCTCCCCGTCCTCGTGGGGCCATGGAATGTGGGACAGGGAGCCAGGATTGGCCTCCTAATCACGGCACCTTAATTGTGCTTCCCTTGGGATTCAGGTGAGGGAGATGGGAAGGCCACCCTATCCCACGGATCCCAATCCCATGGATCCCCATCCCGCCTCTCCAGGCGATCCTCACCTCCGTTGGATAAGCAGAGGCTGTTGATCAGGATGCTCCCGGTTTTATTGTGCTCGTACCTGGGGACACCAGAGGGGAAGGTGGAACACGTCCAGACCTCTCCAGGATCCAAGGAATGACCGCCCAGGAGGTCACAAGGACACTGCCAGGTCATCCCTGGATCCCTGCTGGGATTTGGATGGGTGGGACCCTCGGGAATGACACGCCCTTGAGAGCTCTCGGCCTTGGGAGGGACGAGGAAAAGGGGGATCCCACTGATTGCTGGGAATCATCTCCATGGGGACAACAAGAGGTGACAGGGGTTGGAATGGTGTCCACGGGGACAACAAGGGGTGCCAGGGGTTGGAAGGGTTGGAATGGTGTCCACGGGGACAACAAGGAGTGCCAGGGGTTGGAATTGTCTCCATGGGGACAACAAGGAATGCCACGGGTTGGAATGGTGTCCGTGGGGACAACAAGGAGTGCCAGGGGTTGGAATTGTCTCCACGGGGAAAAAAAGGAGTGTCAGGGGTTGGAATTGTCTCCATGGGGACAACAAGGGGTGCCAGGGGTTGGAATTGTCTCCATGGGGACAACAAGGAGTGCCAGGGATTGGAATCACCTCCATGGGGACAACAAGGACTGCCAGGGGTTGGAATTGTCTCTGTGGGGATAACAAGGAGTGTCAGGGGTTGGAATTGTCTCTGTGGGGACAACAAGGAGTGTCAGGGGTTGGAATCACCTCCATGGGGACAACAAGGAGTGCCAGGGGTTGGAATTGTCTCTGTGGGGACAACAAGGAGTGTCAGGGGTTGGAATTGTCTCTGTGGGGACAACAAGGAGTGTCAGGGGTTGGAATTGTCTCTGTGGGGACAACAAGGAGTGTCAGGGGTTGGAATTGTCTCTGTGGGGACAACAAGGAGTGTCAGGGGTTGGAATTGTCTCTGTGGGGACAACAAGGAGTGTCAGGGGTTGGAATGGTGTCCGTGGGGTGCCAGGGGTTGGAATGATCTCCATGAGGATAACAAGGAGTGCCAGGGGTTGGAATTGTCTCCATGGGGACAAAAAGGAGTGCCAGGGGTTGGAACGGTCTCCGTGGCGTGTCAAGGGTTGGAACGGTGTCCACGGGGACAAGAAGGGGTGCCAGGGATTGGAATGGTCTCCGTGGTGCGTCAAGGGTTGGAATGGTGTCCATGGGGTGCCAGGGGTTGGAATGACCTGTGGAGCAGCTCCTGGGCCACCGTGTCCCCGTAGTCGTGGGCCAGGAGGTTGATCCGGTGGCGCTGGAGGCCGAGGTGCCGCGCGAGCCCTTCCACGACGTCGGCCTGCTCGAAGATGGAATAGCGGTGGGGCCTCTGGAAAAGCGGGAGAGGGGCCCCGGTGAGAGCCTGAGCCCACAAATCCCGGGAGAAACCCCCAAATGGGATGGAAAACAGGAGTTTGTGACCCTGGATTGAGCAATGGGATGTCCTGGATCACCCGTGGTGTCCACATTGTTCGTGCTCCAAAGGGATCAAGGAATGCTTTGGGATCATCAAACCCCACAAATTCCAGGAGAAAGCCCCAAATGGAGGAATATCAACAGGAGACCAGCAGTTTGTGATCCTGGATCATCTGGATGTCCTGGATCACTGGTGGTGTCCACACTGTCCGTGTTCCAAAGGGATCCAGGAATCCTTTGGGATCATCAAACCCAAGTGAGGCCCCACCACAAACCTCCCTCATCCCTCCCACTGATCCCTGTTATCCTACGTCTTATCCCTTTTCCGGGTGTAAATGGGAGGGAAAACTGAGCTCCAAAATGCCTGGATCTGGAGCTGGAAAGCATCCAGGAAAACCCTCCTCCCGGGGATACTCACGGGCTTGTCGCTGAAGCCAAATCCCAGGAAATCCAGGGCGATCACCCGGTGGAAGCGCTGGGTCAGCCCTTCCCAGATCTGGGAAGAGGGAGAAATCCATTAAAAAAGCATCCAGAAGGAGCAGCCGGGGATTGCTCCACCCCGGGAGCATTTTCCAGCTCCGGGAAAACAGCGGGAGCTCCGAATTTCCCAATAAACAGCTGGACCATCCCAAAAAAACCCAAACCCTCTCCAGTAAACAGCTGTGGGTCTTTCCCAGCTTTGGGATGGAGCGTGGGGATGTGAGGAGAGCTTGGATCCCGTGCGGGGTTGTTGGGAGAGGAAGAACAGGGCGGGTATCCCGGAGTGGGGCCTCCGGAAGGAATCGGGAATTCTCCTCTGGAGCGGGGCTGACTCGCCCCCCTGGGATGTGCCCCCGGCTGCCCTCACCTTGCTCCAGTCGTAGCTGGAAGTGGGGAATCCGTGCAGCAGGATCACGACGTCGGAGCTTCCGACGGCGCCGCCCGAGTCTGCGGAGGGAATCGGCTTTTCCCACGGAATTCCCATGGAATTCCTCCCTTCCAGGACGGGCTTTGGGTCCCGCCCAATGGCACGGAGGCGCCTCTCCCCCCGCTCCCCAAAACCAGGGATGGGGTTGATTCCTTCCCACCACGACTTCCCAGTGGGAAACCCGGAGCGGCCGCGTGGTGGAATCCCGGGATTTATTCATCCCGAATTATTTGGAGCTGCCTCGGTGAGCAACTGCTGCTCTGGGAAAAAAGGGTTCCCGGAATCTCCTCCGTGCTGGGATCCATCGGAGGCGCTTGGGATCCTTCCCAACACCCCCGAGGGACAGGAAGAGACATTCCCCAAGGTCTGGGGTCGTCCTGATTTTGGGGTCTGAGGGGGGATGTGGGTCCCATTTGGGGTCTGAGGGGGGACATGGATCCCATTTGGGGTTTGAGGGGATGTGAATCCCATTTGGGGTCTGAGGGGGGATGTGGGTCCCATTTGGGGTCTGAGGGGGATGTGAATCTCATTTGGGGTCTGAGGGGGGATGTGGGTCC